GTAATGATATGTCGATAATTTGAAATGGTAATTGCGGAATATTGGTAAATGGCAATAGTTGTCATCGCTATTTAGTTTCGAACAACTCGCTAATTAGTAAATTAATGTCGATTTATATGGGTTATAGTTCAAGAATCTAATTTACTAATATATTTATATAAGTTTTAAGTTATTTCTTAAAATAAAGTTGAATTAATTTATCTCAACTTAACTATAGTTTGCTCTTATTATGGTTCTAGTTAAGCTTAGCTGGAAGTGCTGATATACGCACAGTACTAACATTAAATTAACGTGTGAGACATAGTCAGTGGTCGGGCCCAAAGAGGAAACTATGAAATAAGTGACGTAGGGCCCCCCGTTATGACTTTGCGTTCACCACTCTCTTATACGTGTTACCATTTAAATCTCTTCGTTATTAACTTGTCCGGTGTCTTCTTCTATGTTGGGAGCACTCGTGCGTTTCCTCATTACACCACTTCCTTTCGCCACTTCGACGGAGGGCTGGTTCTTCGAACTCAAAGGAAGTACTCTTTAAAAGGTCTTAACTCTTTATTCTACACGAAGAATTTTATTATTGTATTTTTATTTTCAAATAAAAATAAATGATGAATAAATTGACCCGGATTTATTTTTTTTCCCTTATAAACTGTGTGGGAATTAAAATGAGTAAGTGGCCGAGATAAGAATTTGCGCGTGATGCTTGCGGTACATACGTTTTATAAATGTGTAAAATCCCGATATCTTCGTTCGGACCAGAACGACAAGAACAGAAAAAAAGTTGGAGGAAAATACCCACAAACTGTTTGTTGCGGGATGGAGATATCAAAAGAATAAAACCGAAAAATGTAACAGTGTGGTTAAAATAAAACAGTTTGATAAAATTTCTTTGTTGTAGGTATATTATTACTTATCTCGATTGAATTGTAAAAGGAATAAAATAGGAAGTAAGCGATTTCGTTTTAGTTAGAAGTTGAAATTTATGACAATCCCCTTTTCAAGAAGAACTTACACAAATCCCCATTTACTCTTAAGTAGCGGTAATGGTTTAGCGGGATCCTTTAATTGAATAAGACGTTCCTTGGCTCACTTCTCCATTACATCCCGCGAACCATTTTAGCCTTTCAGCGAAGTACGTGACTAAATTCGTTCTAACTGCTCTTTTATTGCTACAACTAGAAACGTTGCCAAATTAAATTTAAGAAGCGACAATCCAAACTACTCGTACAATTGATTTAACCGCATCTATTTATAGATATCCTCAATAAAAATCGAGTCATTTCTCCTAAAAATTCAAAAAGATAACAAAGAACTATTTTTGATTTTTACGAAACTATTATTATCAAAAAACCACACATATCTTCTTCAAATAATCTTTTTTTATAATGATAAGAATAAGAGTCATAAAGGAAGTGTTTTGTATAAACGTTTCAGAGGTCGGTGTAATGCGTCATCCGCTGACGACCAAATTGACCAAATTACCACCACGTAAATATTTCGCGTACTCAATTGTCGTACAACATGTATAAACACGTACACGTCGTATGTTGGTGTTACTCGTGTGAGAATTTTAAACGGGCGCGCAGCATTAGTTTACAACCTACTTAAATGCTCCTTCCGTTTTCTTTCAAATTGAAGCCCGGATGTGAACAGTTAACAAGGGCGACGCTAAGTCATCACTTTACGACTGGTTGTAATTAGATCACAGACCGCATCTACATATATCATTATACTGTTATAAAATTGATGGTCATTTTTTAAAAAAACACTAATTAATTGCTAAGACAATTTTTTTTTTCGTATATGCTACTTTTTTTGTTTTCCAAGAAGTAGTGCGTGAGAAGAGAAATGGTAAAGTGTCGACGTATATTTCGGTATTAATAACGAGTCCAGGAGGGAAGAACACTTGAGCAGTCTAGCCTTTTGTCTCACCCTCTAAGATGATGTATTCAGACAGGGGTGGCTCGAAATAAACAGCAGAACGTGTCCCTGGCGGTTAACGCTTCAGGAGTACGATGACTACGTACTGAAACTTTTCTTTCTGATGTTGTCTAGGAAATATTACTCCAGGCAGGTTTAGGATGAAAAAAAAATTAGCGTGTTCTTATTCTTGGTTACTTAACAAAGGTGAAATGAAAAAAAATCGTTCCAATTTATTATAAGTCCTTCGAATTTTTATGGAAATTTGAAAATTTCGTAATCAACCACATCATCATTTTTGACCATGAAGCAAAAATAGATTTTTGATATGTGATAATTCTGAATTGAACCAAAATTATTTTCATTCTTATTCTTAGGCAAGATTTTCTATAGTTTTTGGGAGAATTGGATCTTTCCTGGTCCATATTTTAAAATTATTGATTCAACTCAATTTACTTGACGAATAGAATTTGAGTCATTGACTGGATTAAAAATGTCACGTTAAAGACCTAGTCAAGTCAATAATTGCATTGAATGACAGACCTAATTATTAACCGAGAAGAGCCAACCAACATAACGAAATGTTTTAAAGTGTATGTCTTAAGCTTAATATTTCTGCCAGAATGCCTTGTTGCTAAACGTTTCAGAGATATTGCCTTTAAAGTTATACTTTCCAACCTAAATCTCCGCAACTACGTACAGTGTTGAGAAGTTACTATTACATGGCGGAAACTAATCTTATATATGCTACCTGAAAATGAGCTATAATTTATGAAGGAGATGCGTGGTTTTGTCTATTTTGGCAGACACAAAGTCAATAAGTTTGCGACTGTAATAATGAAATAAATCTGTACTAGTAATTGCCTAACTTTAATTTTTATTTCTATAACCCGTTTTGTAACTATTGTAAAGATCATAAACTAGATATCATAAGCCAGGGATAAGATAACGAATGGATATAATCCGTTCACTATCTTATCCCGCATTTTTATTTCAGGATAAGCAGAAAAAATGATTCTATAAATTTTCGAAGAAATAATTAAACCTTTCATTACCAGATTATGAAAAGAACATCCCAAAAGATAACCTGAAAGAGTTCAATAAATCTATCACCTCCCTAGCAATAATCGATCTTAAAGTTCCAACGTTGCAAACCGCTGTTGTTGAAGATAATAGAGTAACAACAATGAATTGCCAACAATTTGCAAGAACCCCCGACCTGGAATTGCCATCAGCCATGTTAACAAATACGTTATCAAGGCAAATATTGTCCCAAGTAGGCTGGGTTGTTATGCCTGTGAAGACAATGGATGAAAAAAAAAATCAGTAGCATTCTGTCTATACTATCAAACATAATATTGGAGTCACCAGTATTTTTTAAATATTGTTGCAAAGATTCAGAAACATATCAAGCGCTCCAATTTTAGGTGTTTTCACTTAACCCTATCGTTCAGGATCGAATCTAACTACAAGTAAATAATTATAAATATAGACTAATTTTACGATTATTTATAAGATTTTATAAAAAATACTAATATTATCAAAAATACGTTATACAGAATACTTTCTCTTAAAGAATACTCAAAGCAGTAAATACTCAAACTCAATTCATTCTCGACCCTTCTTTATTCAAAATCCATTGATTCCCACCAAAAACGATATTCTGATCTACAAGATATTTTAAAGGGTCCGTGTATACCTAAGAAAAATCTCGTCGAACTCTTCTTTAAGAACACCCCAAGTGATTTGTATAAAGTCTAAGGGTAAGAATTTCGTGGGAACAGTTTTTGCAAGGGAAGATTTCAATGGATTTCACAGCGGGATTTAGAATTGTCTACTAATGGTTTCGAAATCGATTTGAAGGGTGAATGATTGAAGTGAAGAGTTGAAAGTGTTATTGGTAAATCGTTGGGTATTGAGTATAAATGTGGATAGTAATAAAGCACCACGTCGATCTTATTAATTAAGAGTATATCACCGGTCTGGTGGGAACGGCGAATATTCTGTTGTGTTCAGCTCGCATGACGGACAGGAAATAGCTGTACGTACTTTGCGATCGGTACGTCACCGGACCGGAAGTCGTTCTTTGACTTTACCTTTTTATCAGACCATATGCCACAATGGAAACGTCGGGACTATTTTTTTATTTTTTGTGTTCGATTTTTCACCTTTACTCAGAAAAAATAGTCATTCAGATCAATTAAAATAATAATTAAGTTAACGCATTAAAATATGTAGCAACACATATTGAAATCATATACATTATAAAACGAATTCGATCAATAATAGCGAACGATCAGGAAATGGATGTAGGTTGATAAGCATTCTCAATACTTCCTCGTCACACAATGGTAAGTCACTTGATGTCCACGCGTTTGTCACATGAGGATAGATATACACGTATCGACTTGTATGCATCAGGAAAATTGAGCGAATTGCGCAACAAACTTACCAGAGAATGTGTTTAATACTTTTATATTTAGATGTGTTTCGTGGCGTTGGGAAAACAAGATATATCGTCGATATCGTCAACGCTTAAATGATAAGGCCCGTTACTGGTGGTAATTTAAAACTTGTAGGCAGTAATATTCGTGCGATAAGGGTCTAATTTCCGTAGATAAGACAACACTTTTCGCGACAGATGGTGAGAATATTGTGAGAACCCCGTGTATGTGTTGTATACTTCAGGGCCATATGGCACACGAGCTCAACAAAGACAGATAACGATGGGCCCTATTTTTGAGGGTTGTGGCTATTTAGCGATTATAAAATGTAATCAACAGGAGAATTATTGGAAATTAATAGAAGTTCTGTTAGTTTTTAAAAGATTGATTGTCTTGTTATTGTAATAAGCGTTTTTATTTTTATATATGCGCTGTATGTACATGGTCGATAATTAGTAAGAGAGATAGTTTGATATGTGTCTATCACCAAACATATACGCTTTGTAGTTGTCGGATCAACAGTTGTGGGTTCGCGCTCGGTTCGGCGGCAGGTGGTCGCGTACGAAGCGTGACCCCTTCACCTTCTGCAGGAGTTGTGTATCTACCGGTGTGTTCTAAAAGTGGTCCCTTTGGTTTCAGGTATTGACATGGGCGACTATTCTTAAAGTGGGGACCGAGAGCTCTTCTGGAGGGGGAAACGACGACCAATAACGCTCCGACTTATGATGTCATCGGAGGAGGAGACAGAGTTCGGTTTGTACGCAGATAAACTCCTGAAGAAAACTAAAAGAACCAGACAGCGTGTGGACGCCGGAGAACCGCGCAACAGCTACTCCTCGATACCAAACTTTAGTTCGAGACCGACGTTTCTCGGGAGCGGCAGCAACATTTACGGCGCGATTTTTACGCAACAGCAACAGTTCGGTTTATTCGGGCCGGGGTTCGCGCCGGCTAAGATGTTAAACGAGCTCCTGGGGAGGCAAAAATCGGATGCGAACGGAGGTAACGTGCAAAGTGAGGGCGAAGACGGGAAATTTGATTCGGTGATCAGGTGTGACGGGAGCCCGCCCTCGAACGAACAACTAGCCCATCACATGCTAAGGGATATTCTTCAGGGACGTAAACACGATCTGATGGCACTGGACCACGAGCTCAGGAACGGCCAGGATCATATTATCAACAATAACAACAACGATCTTAAAGCGGAGCCCGCGGACCGAGGGGAAGTAGAGTCCTCAAAAGAAGCCGAGTCGGTAGAGCGACAAGAGATGATGGAAGAAGCACTAAACGGTATGGAGACCGAATCGCTTCCATCGCCGAAAGTAGAACCAGCCAGTCCGGCTAAACCGGAAGACGCAAAAAAGGCGCGTGTCGAAAACATCGTATCAGGGATGCGCTCGAGTCCAGCACCACTACAAGTGAACGGGTGCAAAAAACGTAAGCTTTACCAACCGCAACAACACGACAGCACAGCAGAAAGGTACATCGACGACGAAGAGGACGAATCAGAACCGATTAGACAGAAACGCGTAGAAAAAAACGCTTTAAAATCACAATTAAGGACAATGCAAGAACAACTAGCGGAAATGCAACAAAAATATGTGCAATTGTGTACACGAATGGAACAAAATTCCGAGGAAAGCCAAGAAGTCGAAGAAATCCCCAGTGATAGTGAACAAAGTAAACGATCGGCGCCACCATCTCCGGTTACCACCTCGGTGACGCCCATTCCTCAACCACCTCCCTCATTAACGCAACAGGTGAGCAAAATGAAGATAAGCCCACCGACGCCTCATTACCATAACGGACTATTACACGAACACCCACACATGAGCAACGCGGCTGCTATGTACCTAGGGGTAAGTCACAAATTGTTAATGGAACAAGAAGCGCGCATGGCTAAAGAAGTCGCTGCGGCAACCGCGTCCAGCAACGAATCTCAACATAGCAATCCTCCACCACATCATAATCATCACCATCATCATAAAGAAAACGCGTTCGCCGAACGTTTAAGCATGATGAGAAATGTAACACCCACCGGAACGGACTTAGAGGGATTAGCGGACGCCCTCAAAACAGAAATAACCTCTTCGTTATCTAACCTCATCGATACAATAGTAACAAGATTTTTACATCAAAGGAGGTGTAAACAATCGGACGCTGCTGCGTCGGCGGAACAGTTAAATAAAGACCTCTTAATGGCCTCGCAATTACTAGATAGGAAGTCACCAAGAACCAAAGTATCGGAAAGACCGCAAGCGCCACCACCGACGTCAAGCAGTCAAATGGTAAACGGAAACCACCCGCCGATGATGCCAGTCCATAGCATGGGTATGCAAAAACCGTCTGATATGCACATACGACCTCCAATGTTTCAACCACCTAAACCACCAGGTATCAGTCAAGCCGCCCTTTACGGTATGAATCATCCGTTTTGTGTTGCGAAACAACCGGAAAACCCCGAACAAAATGAAGCGTTAAGTTTGGTCGTAACACCAAAGAAAAAACGACACAAGGTGACCGATACCAGAATAACACCACGAACGGTTAGTAGGATTTTGGGACAAGATGGTATCGGAATGTCACCGGCTCCGATGGAACAATCTTGTGCGTCACCTAGGCCGCCACCTTATCATCAACCGCCACCAATGTTGCCCGTATCTTTACCTACATCTGTGGCAATTCCAAACCCAGGACTTCATGAATCTCAGGTCTTTTCACCGTACAGCCCATTTTTCCACGGACCAAGTCACGGACATCACATGGCCATGCCGGTGAGTTATCGATAATTAATAAAATTTTAGATAAATATTAATAACAACTTTTATTAATTTTAGGCGTCAGCATCACCACCAAGGATGCACAAAATGGAACGAGAATCACCGCCAATTCACCATCCCCCAACGCTTCTTCATCCTGCTTTATTAGCAGCTGCTCAACACGGTGGTTCCCCAGATTACGGTCACATGAGGGCGCCTTCAGGAGGAATGAATATGGATAACGGCGATAGGAACAGCGATTGCAATTCAGGAGACATCTCGTACGACGGGATGCAGCCTACAATATCCTTTTTATACAAAATAATGCCCGAAGTAATTTTTAATCATTTCTCTATTTGTAAACGTAAAAATAACTTTCATGTCTTCTGGTTGATTTGTAAGTCTTCCGTCTAGAGCAATGGCGTTGCTAAATCTCGGTATTGGGTGAAATCCTCGACAAAACTCAATAAGAAACCGTATAAAAATCTAATACTTAATCGATGTCAGTTCTAGACGGCCGCAAAAGGATTTAGTTCTCGTGAATGTATCATGTACCGTAATTACAAGGCTTTTCGAGAAAATAGACTCAAAACAAACGGTAAACTGGTGAATTGAGTCGTAGACATCGATGCCTATCATTTCCATGGACGGTTAACAAGCTCCCGTTAATATTTTAACCCCTCACCTTTACCTAACGTATCACACTTTTGTGAGAATATCGTGCTAACATGCACGTGTTACAGCTAAGAAAAGGAATAAGTTATAACCTTACTTTTTTTTGTGCCAAGTTTACCATTGATTATTTACGATAATTACTTGGGACGAGCGAGCACCGAACACACGGGGGTTACAGGTTTTTACGTTTACAAGACAAACTAATGATAATTAAAAAAAAATACAATTTTTTAAATTTATCCAAAATATCTAGCCAAATATTTCCTTAACTCATTAGCACTCGTCAACATTGACACCAATGCACCTCAGAAAAGCGAAGTTGATGTTCTTCTGGGTTAGATATCCCAGTTCGGCCGTGCTGAAGATGTACTTCCCGGACATCAAGTTCAATAAAAACAACACTGCCCAGTTGGTCAAATGGTTCTCCAACTTCAGGTGAGTTACAATTTTTTAATAAATTATTATAATGATTTTGATAACAAAATTATATTCCACCTGTGGTTTTCTTTGTAATCGGTATTTTCTTTGACCTGTTTTGGGTTCAAACCCGCATTAAATACAAACTCAAACAAGAAACGTAAGCATATTTACTCGAATTGGTTATCAAATCACCTGCGCGCTTCGCCGTTTTCTCGAGGGAAACCTCGTCCCCTATATGTTAACGTTCCTAATATTTTTTACTTTACGTACATATTACGTTCATATACTTGTCAACGGTACCAGATTTAAGAATAAGGTTCCCACAGATTTCCCCCTTATGTGAAGAATAACAGAACAAGAAACCGGCGAGGTAACTCAGGTACGCGCCGTAAGAATTACAACGGACTTCTTAAAGCCAAAAGACGTTGGTTATCAACAAAAGATTCCCTACATCTGCCTGTTTGATTTACCCTCCCCAAGTCGGCAACCTTTACTCTTTATTGCCGGTTTCGTATTCCCTGAGGTGTTCCTTCAGCGTCTTAAGAAAACGTTTAACGTCTTCTCCCGGTTTCTATAACCATATGCCACGTGGCATATGTCCACGTGCTTATCTGTTGTTCCGTTAGGGTTTTAAAACTTGAAGGTTATAGAAACTAACGAATTTTTAGGACATAAAGAAATTCTTTGTGTAGATTATGAATTTAATTCGCAAGTCCGAAATGTGTAAAGACTCGATTTGCAATCGTACCCAATCAAGATTCAATCTGTTTGTCGGGGCGCAAAGGTGACCGGAAATGGAAATTATCGACCTTGGAGCGGCGTCCACAAGGTCCGGCCCTTCCTGCCGACGAAATCTCGTCCTGCCACCGCGCTTCAGTAGAACATGCCTGCACTATTAATTAGGCCTTTGATTATCCGTAATCGATCAATTAGTCGAAACTAAACGTGTAATCTCCACGTGAGCGAAGAGCTTAAAGCTTTCCCCGTCGGTCGTAGAGAAAGAAAAAAATGAAAAGCTTCGAGACCGCGGATGGCCGCCCCCTTTTCGTCCCTCAAACCCTTTTTCCCTCAGTCTTTCTCGCTCGCACCCGGGTACTGCTCAATTAAATATAACTTAATTAAGGTCTTGAGACTAATTAGTGAGGTTGGTATTTTTCTTTACGCCCTTTTCTCCAGCGTCGTCGCTGCCGGCTCTACGCGCTCGACGTCAACCGTCTCATTAGCTTTTATGCGAAATTAGTCATTAAGGTTTTACCAGAAAAGTATACATTAATTTATATTAATTGAAGAACAGGTAATTTCGTGTCAATTAGATATTTATCTTTAATACTTGTACTTTCTTAGACGCTGAAAAAGTTTTTTTTATACCACCACTTTTCCCGCATTATTGATTTAAAAACAGACTCATCATTATCTCAATCGTTTCAGTTTTAAAGTGAAACGTATCGGGAGCCAAAATCCGAACGAAAAGACATTAATTAAAAGTTCCTCGGGCTCTTTTTTTTGCTAGATCTCCTCCGCTCCTCTCTTCTGCCCTACCCTACAAGAGAAGTACAACGTAGGGTAAAGTTTTATTTAGGGTACCGTAACGGTTTTCTCTATTATTGAACAGCTGTCCTTTCATCTACCTATGCGTACGGAGTCGTATTGTTCAAATAAAGCCAGACCGGTCGTTTAGTTTCCCTATATACAGAGTCGACCTAAAGTTTTCAAAACAAAGTTTCCGTGTTATATCAAAAAAAAGCAAAAAGGAGGAGCCTATTTAGAAGACGGTGGCATGTGAGTTTTCCGAATACATCGCGATTTCTTTTTGTATACGTTGCTCTCTCGAGGATTTATTTAGAACGGTCGGTCTCCCCTTTTTTACGCGAACGTTTTTTCTATTAATTTTTTCCTGGAAAACAATCTTTCCTGAGATAAATTAAAAATCGTGCAACGGCGACCGCTATATCTATATATTCGTTGTGTTCCTGTTACCTGGTGAAATGTTAAATACTGACTGCTCCGTTTCTGCCCCGGAGCATACGCGAGCAGCAGCCAACAAAGCGCTCCCGTTTCATTTTCCAGTTTGTAATGTTCGTTACTTGCTTTTTGAAATGAAAACTCCCGGAAAAGTCCCTCTTTATTGCCCGCCCTGTGTGCACTGACGCGTCGGCATTCAACGCGGGAAGGTGCGTGCGTCGAAGTCCCTTTGTCTCTTTAAAAGTTGGTGAAAATACAATTTTTCGTTTTTCATCCACCCAAAAAAGAAGAAAACTCAAGTATTTATCTAACGCTTTTCGGTTTTCACTTTACCCACGTTTTATTTTCTTCGTTGTTAACTAATACTTAAATTCATTCTGTTAAACCGTTTTAAAGCAACATAAATAGCGATGCGACATGGGCTCCCGTGCAACAGTTGTTAAGTAAATAGTTAAACAGTTCTAATACTGTATTAATTATGTATGCCCAATTGCTCCATAATTGGTATTTGGATATACGGACATGACACCACAAACATTCGGTCAATATTGATGGCGCTGGCGCCGCTTCGTGCACCCCTTAAACGCTCCCCGGTGCCATTTCGGCTTTTTTTATGTGCACCCGGATAAAGGTGATAAATCACGCGAAAACAAATCAATATCAATTCGTACGAAAAAGTAGAAACGCAAACAGCATAAATTCACGGGAGAGTACGGGAAAATATTTACGCGAATTGAACTACCAGAGATTTTTTTTAATGCAACTACGCATATCCGGGAGCTGGGAGTTGCGCTGTTGTCTAGAGAACTTCGTTTCTTCAAATTACCAGCAATTTTAAGTGGCGCCCTTTCCCCGGCAACGTGTCACGTTACATATAATCGTATGTACATCGATACACACAGAGTGCCAATTAGGAAAAGCGTGAATATTTACGCCAACGATTTTCTGATAGTAGATGGTACACCACTTGTTCCTACGCCTTGCGATTCATTAAAAGAATGCGCTCTAAAAATCGCGGAAAACCAACTCTACTAGTAGTAGTACTCTAATCATCAATTTAAAACATTTTATTTTCTTACAATCAATTTTTAATGTTTTGTTTCTCTTTTCCAGGGAATTCTATTACATTCAAATGGAGAAATATGCAAGGCAGGCTGTTTCTGAAGGTGTTAAAAGTGCAGACGATCTTCACGTGGGTGGCGATTCAGAACTTTACCGAGTCCTTAATCTTCACTACAACAGAAATAATCACATCGAGGTATGCGGCCCACAGGTTCGTGGCTTTTGCATCCGAGACATCCCGCCTATTATTTAGTTTGCTTTTTCTTATTTTATAAATAAATTTTTTATTCACTTTATCCCTTGTATACGGTGAAACTTAAAGCAAAAATATTTTACTCAGAAACGATAAAATTTTTGGAAAATACAAATTTGATTAAAAAAAATGTTCTTTTTTAGCATAAGATCTTTCTTAATGATGATTTTTTGAATTCGTTTGATGATTTTACAAATTCCAGTAGCATTATTATACAGATAGGATATTCTGTTTGGTTTTGGATATGCTGAAATCGGAGGATGTTGCATGGATTTTACAAATTCCAGTTGCATATTTGTTGAACCAGATTTGTACCGTTTTATGTAACTTAATACTCAATGATTAGCTACTGCCCATCTTATTCTTGAGACAATTTCAAATAACTGGTATTATTATACAGATAGGATATTCTGTTTGGTTTTGGATAAGCTGAAATCGGAGGATGTTGCATGGATTTTACAAATTCCAGTAGCATCTTTTTATTACAAGATTTGTAGAGTTTTATGTAACTTAATACTCAATGATTAGCTACTGCCCATCTTATTCTTGAGACAATTTCAAATAACTGGCATTATTATACAGATAGGATATTCTGTTTTGTTTTAGATAAGCTGAAATCGGAAGATGTTGCATGGATTTTACAAATTCCCGTAGCATATTTGTTGAATAAGATTTATAGAGTTTTATGTAACTTAATACTCAATGATTAGCTACTCTCCATCTTATTCTTGAGACAATTTCAATTAAATAGCATTATTATATAGATAAGATATTCTGTTTTGTTTTGCATAAGCTAAAATTGGAGGAATTTTTGGAATTAATTTCAAGTTAGTTTTTATGTCAATTTAAATAACCACAAGAAACTACACAAATCTTTGCTATTCTTTGGTGATTTGACTTATTTTGTCCAAATTTGTCATGTGAAAGATATAAAAATTTTAGAAATGACTAAGTTATCACGTTTCCTTTGCTTTTCTTGTCAGAATGAAACGCTTTGCTTAGCTAATGCTACTACTATTTTGTCTTAGACTACACTCTGTCTACAGAAAGAGTTATATTCCTTGCCATACTAATATTAGACTAATATTTGTCTGCTTGGCTTTAGAATAATCTTGAACTACTGTTAGACACGTTCGTGTTTAATCATTAGAAGTTGTGACTACATACACTTTTTAAATAGCTGTACATAGAATTTTATTTCCTTCCAAAAATTTTATCGGATCTGAGTAAAATTGGTTTAAGTTTCAATCACTGTATACATTATATTTTCTTTAAAGTCGATGAGACGATGTCAACTTCTTGAGATGTCTTGGACATTTGGCACGACAACTTTTAGCTTTATTTAGTGCAAATTGTTCTAAATCCAAATATTAATAATTTTTAAACGATTTTTTTACAATAAAATTTGTATTTTTTTAGGTACCATCGAACTTTAGGTTCGTGGTAGAACAAACGTTACGGGAATTCTTCAAAGCGATCCAAGAGGGTAGAGACGCGGAACAGTCGTGGAAAAAGTCTATCTATAAGATAATTTCCAGGCTGGATGATCCGGTACCGGAGTACTTTAAGTCTCCAAACTTTTTGGAACAATTGGAGTGACCTGTTACGAAGAGTGGCAACGCGCTACCGAATGCCTATTACCATCACCACAATCCCCATCAACAACAATCCCATCAACAACATCCACATCAACAACCACCACATCCGCAACAACCACATCAACACCAACAGCAACAACAACAACACCAGCAAAATCATCGTATGTGGTAGGAACTGATGCAGGGACTCGGTAGCTGAACCGCACAAAAAAAAATCTTAAAACGTTCAATCCCATGAAATAAAACAAAAAAAAATAATGTTGAAGAATCGGTGACGTTATGCGAAAGAAAAAAATTACAAAAAAAAAATACAAACTGTCAACGTTTTGTTCCTTTGTTCCTGACGATATATATCTCTATCTATATATATTATATATATATGAACTCAAAAAATTAACAAAAAAATTTTGTAGAACGGTTTTGAAAATTTCTTAAAAGATTTGTTGATTTGAAACCGTTCTAGATTCATAATTAAAAAAATCTAATAATAATTGTGTTAGGTTGACAGTTATATTTAAAGAAAAAATATAGTAATAAGAGACAATTATAGCCTCAGGCAAAAAGATAACAAAGTTCGCAAGAACAGTGAATTAGAAAACAAAACAGAATAGATGTTTATCGGGCGTCAATATATGGTTATGTTCAATTTACAAACATACAGTAACCAGCAGTAAACAAGTTAACAATCTGCACAATTTCGCATTTTAAAGTACGATTTTTGGCATTGTTTTCAAGTTTTTCAATTTTATAATAATGCCTCTGTAAACTGTAAACATGTATATAGACTTGTATATAGAATATTTATCACTTATTATTTATGATTTTAACTAATCGTATAAATATGTTCTATATGACCAAAGTTATTATTATTATTATTATTATTGTCTTTTCCTAGTCTAACATATAAATGCATCCTTTGCACTAACTCTTGGACGAATTTAAATTAAAAATTCCTCCAGAGAGTTAGTGTACGTGATTTTATTTGTTATTATTTTATTTCTTATAAAAGAATTTATAAGATTTAAGATAATTTTTAATTTTTATGTTCATATTAAGTAGGTATGCCCTTTTATGTTTAGTTTTTAATTTCGCACAACATTTTGTAATTTCTTAATTTAATTTCTTGTTGTTGTTTAATTTTTATTTTCCTTTTTGATTGTAATAGGCTAGTTGCTATTAACTTGTGGAATAAGTTGTTGGCATGCCTGCATAATATTTACTTTTAATTATTTTTGCATTTAATTATTATTTTAAAATCACTTTTTAGCACTATTATAATTATAAAAATAGATACACGATCTCTTGAAGATTCACGTATGAGGCAACTAGTCAATAATAAAATATTATTTTCGTCCCATAGCTTTCTGTTATTATTTTTTTTTTGTTTTGGTTGCAATCAAAATGCAGTTTACAGGGCAGCTTTTGTTCCTAATCAATCTAAAGCGCCAAAAAACTCAAAAATCAAATTAATAAAAAAAAGATAACCAGTATTCCTTCTTATCCCACATAAGTCTCAAAAAAAAAGTAATAATAAACAGGTAAAGTGGTAAATTTTTGTAAAAGGATTCCGAGATTGTTATTGTAGCTTAAAAAATAAGCTATGAAGTCGTGATTTTACTGTTCCTAAAAAAATTGTATATTGGATACTGCCGAAGTTATAAAAGACTGCCGTTCAATTAGTCTTTTATTTAACTTTTTAGTTAACGCGTTAAACTTTTGGTTGCTTTTCAAAATTAATGGTTTGGAGTTTTGAGAAAGTTTTGTTAAAATTTTAATTTTCGTCTCGGAATCTTCGAAAAAAAATAATGGTGAAAAATTATTACAACGTTCGTTTAGAAACGTTCGTCTTTTAAATGAAAAAAAAAGTGAATTTTAAAGTGATGTTTGTTAAGATTTAAAGAAAAAAAGAGAGAAAGTAATATATGACGTTAGTAATTGTGAAGTACCCCAAAATTTGTCAGCGGTTCTAGAACCAAAAATCAAGCCTCACTTCTAATCCTATTCGAAAAAAGACGACTACTTACTCGTAATATAATCTAAACATATTATTCTCTCATGTTGTAAATAAATATTAAGCTTGTCTCCAACTCGCAATAGTCTCGTGTAAAATAAAAATAATTAAATAATCGATAGAAAGTGCATATAAATAATGAATGTAAATTTTTAATTTTATGATGAAAAAAATAAATAGGAGTGAGGCACAAGTACAAAGATTTCTGGAACCACTGATTGTGACTGAGGGATTTTGAAGCGAATACCCAAGTGCTTTAATTTTTAACTATTTAGATGAGATTCTCCTGCAGATTTAACTTGGATAGTGGGGTTACGTGTCATAGTGAACCATCAGATATTTCGAGCAAAAAATAAATAACGAGATGAAGAAGCATAACAACTTTGGGTCATTACGCAGTGATTTCGTTCATCACGACACGTGATCCTAATGAACAAAAGTGTAATAAGACCTCAAAAATAACTGTTGGTTTTGACAATTCACAACAACTCTTAAAACAAAACCTACAGAAAAAAAACAAAACGAATATTAATACATAAATAAATAATAATACACAGATACACACAAAAATGAAATAACAATAATAAAACCAATACGAAAAACAGATACGTACGAAATCAAAATAATAATATAATAATAAAAAATAGAGACGACTTAATAACCGAAAAAAATGCAAAAACAGCTGAAATAATAGAACAAAAGAATTGTTAAAGACAATTCAAAAACAGATGAATTCAGAAAAGGCCTGGCAAAGGTCACGGAGGAATTACAATGCTTTCTGGATGAGACTGTAAAAGTAATTTTTGAGGTCGATCCAAGCAGTTTTCCCTTTCTAAAACGGGGGATAACGTGTAGTTGTATAGTTAGCCCGCATCCCCAAAATGAAAAAAAAACTATATATACCTAGGTAGGACCCCCTCCCCTGACAGCATATTCGATCCGTTATTTCTTCGTTCTATTTTTTCTATAACAGAGATATTCGGCGGATTTTATGACAAACTTTTTTATTTGCGTTTAAGTTTTCGGTTAGCACTTGATTTTTTATGCACACACATTCGACTAAAGGCAATATAAGTCTGAAGACACTCGGTTTTCAGTTACAGCGGAACTTTAAATGGTTTTAAGGAAAACAAAAACGAAAAAAACAAAAAATCTAAAAAAGAAAATAATCGACACACGCATAAATTTTAACGAAAAAAAAGAAAAACAAAAAATACACTGTTCGGAAACGGAAATGTCATTTTTACGAAAATCCAAAAAAATGTTTAGGTCACCGGTTCAAAAAAAAATTGTCACGATTTATTAAAAAATAAAAAAAGGAAAAGATATCACGAAAAAAGTACAAGCTTATTTTAAGCACCTCTGCGCCTTAAAAATTAAGAAAAAAATTCGATGCAAAAAAAATGATATGAGTGTGTATAACCAAAATCTGCCTTATTCTATTTTCTTATGATGAAAAAAAAAATCTCCTACCATTATTATAGCGTGATTATTTGCTAGTATGTCGTTTTCTCACCTGACACCGACGATATAACCATATTTCCATAAAAATTAAGTATCAACTAATCTAGTCCAAAATATGTAATACATAGCATTTTGTGTGAGTTGTAGTATACATGTAAAATTGTTGGTAACTAATCGGGTGCCCTACAAATTGAATTCGTATTTAATTTTAAATGTTTTTATTTTCGAGATGCGTTTCGTTTACATTTTTATATAAATACAGGTATTTTACAGCGTAGCCAAGTAGTTCTCAATATATTTAATTTTTGATACGATTAATATGTTACACACGATATTCGCAGCACATCACGAAGTTGCGAAATTTTCATACAAACGTATATTTGTACATTCAGGGGGATATTTTCGTTCGTAACCATCGTTTATTTACGGTTTTATACGAATAGGGGCCGCCCCTTGCAGCCGTTCTCAATTTCGAAATAGTCAAAAAAATTCCACACAAAAATCTGTTTAACAATAGAAGATGAAGGCAACCAACCAAAAAAAATATAACCATTTGGAACCCACAGTTAAGAAAAAAACATCTATTTCCATCACCAGCATTTTAAACCGGTTCAAAACTCTTTCTCTCTCTCTCTCTCTCTCTATCACAAACAATCTCAAAATTCTCTGGGCCAATTCGTCCGTCAAAAAAGTGCCTTCAAAGTTGTTTTTACGAAAAAAAAAAAAAAAAATATGAGAATAAAAATTACAAATTTACGGGCCCTAAATAGTCACGATGCCCAACCAAAACGGCTGCAAGGATCAAACGTTGGCGGTCTCGCCGAATTGTAAATTTGATTTAGTTGTAATCAAATGGGGCACTCGATATTCATAAACATAAGGTTATTTCATAAATATTATATTGTTATGCTAAGGTGGCCATAACCTGGTTAAAATAACCACGGGGAAGCTATTACTATTTGTGGTATATAGTAACTTTGAATTAGAGGTAGTAAAATAACATACAGAATCAATGGTTTCAGTTGGGATCCATGTTATTGACATTTTTCTGTTAGCTGTTATTGTTATTTGTTAAAGGGGATGACTACCAGAGCTACCGATCACGTATATTTAAAAAAAAAATAAGTAAAGAAAAAACGATTTTGATGGAGAATGGTTTACGCTAAACTACCGCATAATCAGCAATAGCTTTTACATACACATATGTTTATATATGTATAAATATGTACATACACCGAGCATGTATCGCCATAGTAAATAAGTTCACAACAAAACTTTCGGCGGCCATTTCTTGTAATATAACAGGTCCATAAGAAAATTTCTAAATTCTTTCATAGACACCAAATAAAGCGTCGACCATCGAATGTGCAATATTACACGCGTGTCCTCGTAAAGCAACCGTTCGTCATCCCCTCACCCTCTCATATGTGCTATAAGTTGTTTTTTTCATTCCACCACGTGACTCGTTTTTTGTCTTCCCTGTACAGTCTCGACAACGATTTTGTTGACAATCGTCGAAAGTTTCGCAAAATTCGCGCGCACTGAACGGAAACAGAATGATTGTTATAAGGCACCACCACTGTGACCAACATGTAACGTTTGGCCTCTAAATTTCCGGAAATGCGTCTGAAATCAGACGCATGGATAATATTTAAATTAAGTTTCACACAATTTGGCGATAATTCACAAATCTTTTTCGGTTCAAATTTCGGTATAACTCAAGTTAAAACGAAGAAAAATTATTCAGTGTTATATAGAACCACACAACAACGAAAATACTAAATTTCCAGTTAAAAAGAATTTTAAAAAATTAAAAAAATGATAAGTGGTTCTATAATGAGAGAATTTTTGAAAAGTATTTATCTAAAAAAAAAAAGATAAAAAATTCAAAACGTCTAGTATAAGATGTTAATTTCTTGTAAAAAATTTTGGTGTATTATACTGGAATAATAATTATAAAGAAATATACTCTTATATAAAATATTATATTAAAAAAAAATGAATGTTTGAATTATGAAAAAATTAAAAACTTGAGTTATAAAAAAAATGGAGAAAAAAAGGAAAGAAAATTAAAAAAAATACAGTGGGTTTATAGTGTTGTCGAGGTTAGTCCAAAAGTCACTGGTGTACTATATATTTGATATATATCCGCCACAGCCGTTTCTTCTTTTTTTTAAGCGAGAAAAAAAAGGGCTCCGCAATCTCAGTAATTTTAAGGTTAGGCGTCGATAGTGAATCGAATAAGAATGTATATTTAGTACAAAAAAATTTTAACGTGAAAAAAAAAGGTAAAATAAAATCGATATAGCTCAAAATTTTATTTCACGGCGAATCAGTCCCTGCGCTTCCCACGCAGAATTATATGTGTAAAAAAATTTAAGAGTATTTTTATATTTATATTGGTGTAAATCAAAATTTCGTAATGAGCGCAAAAAAATTATCGTAGAGAGACTTTTTAGGTTGATAATAAATTTAAGGAAAAATTAACGTTTAGGAGTTTTTAAATGAATTTGTATATAAAAAATTTATATATAAATATATAGAGTGGTCGCCAGGGACGGACTCGCCATGTTGGTACGCGTATGTTAGTGGGCGAAGTGGCGACGTATACTATACTATATACGTACAAAGTACTCGTAAAGTGTGCGTAAAAAGCACCATCCTATGTTGCTTTCGTTTTTTATTTTAGCGTGTGCCGTATCCATGTTATATTAGACAATTTTACTATTTGGTGTACAGCAATTGTTTCGACATCTGATTTGTTAAACGCGGTCAGATCGCTCGAGATGTTGTGACTGTGTTTTCATTGAACAGTATAATAAATATATACATTTATTTGGAGCCATTAGTATTGTTTTATTTTATTTATTAAAATCCCACAAACAGATATTAATAACAAATAATGCTGATAAATAATAACCAAGGTAAGTAATCATTTCCAATAATAGATTTCACTATGTTGTATATGTATATTGAACTAAAACTAGAACTAATACTAGAACTAACACAAGACCTAGAACTAGAATCATTCGGGTTTAGCCGTCTTGAGAGACGTGCGGCTAAATCCGAATGATTCTAGTTCTAGGTCTAGTGTTAGTTCTAGTTTTAAAGTAGCACCATCACTAGAACTAACACAATTAGATTGTGGTATATTTTTATTGAACGAAAAGTAGAACTAACACCAGACCAAGAACCTTACTTATCATAAGGACGTCACCTTTTTCCAAGCAAAACTTTTCGTTTGCAAAACTATCTTGTACTATTAAGCTATGTTCGTAACTATGGTTACTATATACGATATAAATCGTACTTATAACTAATAAATGATGTATAAAAAATTTTTTTTATAAAACTCATAAACTATTGGTTTATAACTTGTCTTGAAACGGAAACATATTATTTAAAAATTAAACTTTATTTGAAATAAATAATTTAAAAATAAGAATGAAAGTTTTCTACTTTTCACCGTGACTCCATCTATTGTTGATTTGATTAACTTTGAAGATTGGCGTTGTTAAAGATAGCAGAACGTTGTTATGTACAACCGCTGATAGATGGCGCAAAATTTTTTTAGGTAAATAATATATAACAGCGAGCTTCTGGTTTGATAAATTCCTATAAAATATAAGTTAAGTGAATAAAAATCTGTAAATTTACTAAAAAGCTTAAATCAAAAAGTAGAATTCTTTCTGCTACTTTCAAATGAATCAACGAGTAAATAATAGATAGAGATATATTTCAATGTTATTTATTTTGAAAGTTTTAGATACTATATTAAAATTGTTTAATTAAGATAAACGTTTATGCATCAAATAAAATTTCCCAAGAAATCTTGTGAAATTTAATATTACCTAAGTTTTCCAAATCCTTTTGGCAAACATTAGCAGTTTATAAATTGTTTGGAATTCATACGGAAATGTAAAAAATAACATTTCACTCTCGCACTATGCCAAAAAGTATACTGGCAAATCCCGACAAAATTTACGTGACCATTCACCCGATTTAGCAACAATGTTTAAGTTTTAGTTCCAAATGTAAAATCTTACCATTTTAACATTACATCTCCTAATATGTTTGGAATTTTGATTAATAAACATAAAATTTTCCTATTATAATTATTATGCATATAACTTTTGTATTATTTATTTATATCCAGTTTTTCAACATGTTCTTTAAAGGAAATCTTAACGTTTACTAAAAAACGCGGTTCTGTAGATGGCTTAATTAATCCTAAACCGGTTGAGCAAGATATTGTCAAGTGAGATTATTGATTTAAGCAAAAATACTTACAGATTACAAGTTACAAATTGATTAATTCATTAACTTTAAAGATTTGGACAAAGATTTCAGTAAGAACGGGTTACGATATTGGCGATTTTTGCAAATAAAATATTTGTTGTTATGTTAATTATTTTTTGGGTAAGTCGATAAGGAAAAAATAAGTAATCAATCAATTTATTTATAAATTAACAAAAAGTGGTTGATTTATAAGACAGATAAGTACATAGAAATAAAATAAACCAAACAGTTGTTTATAGTGGGTAATTTTAATGAAAAGGTTGAAGAGAGATGAAGGAATAAGAAAGGACTTAGCAAAAGACATTAAACTGGAACTGTTTAACGCGTTGGCATCAGGAAGCGTTGACGGCGTCGCGACGCCCTCGAAATTTAGGCATTGTGTATCGTACGAAGTGAGAAGGAGGGAGCATCGCGACGCCACCGCGGGTCCCTATTACCAGCCATAAACGAGACTCAGAGGCGCATAACGAATAGAACAGAGTATCGTAAACTGCTAATATAACCGAGCAGTAGTAGTGGTAGTACGTGGTGGCGACGTCGTCGTCGTCGTCGTCGTCTGGTGCAGCTTCTGCATCGCAGGATTCGTTTCGTCCCGGTTTCGCACTGAACGAACACGAACAGGACGGACGTAGCTTTCGTATAGCCTACGGAGGCTGCTATCAAAACTCACTTCCACGAGTTATAGCCGCATAAAACACGGTTGCACTGTACACTCCGCACATGCACATTCCCCCACCGTTCAAGTCGTAAATGGTCGTACCCTTTGCCCCGCCACAGCCGTTCGCGATGCAATCCTGCACAACTTCACTCCACTTTGGCATTGCAAGACCGATAGTTCATTTTCTAGCAGAGACAGTTCATATAAGCGTGTGTCCACCTAGACAGCCGCCGGTTGATACTTAGAATACCAAAAACCTTGTTCTCCCTATCGTACTCGTCGTCGTCGACGTCGTACACGTGGACCTCACGTTCAGTGCTACTCTCACGTTGTCTCCTACTCTCTATACACCGCCAACAGTGCCTCGTGCTCTCGCAACTGCTGACAGTTCTCTCTTAACCTGTTGCTCGCACGCAACATATAAATCCGGGGATTCCGGGGATCCAAAAAAAAGATCAAATTTTAATTATCCTCCCTCACTTAGAAACATTAATAAAATTAAAAAAATAAATATTATAATAAACTCTTTCAAAAACTTTAAATTACAACCGTGATTTCTTCATTTCCTTGAATTCGTTGTTAGTGGTGATCATGTCCGATCAACAGGATTACGAGACGAAGATGGACCTAAACGCGTCTAGTACATCGAGCAGTCCGAGGACACCGCCAAATTGCGCTCGATGTAGAAATCACCGGGTAAAAGTCCCGCTGAAGGGCCATAAAAGATACTGTAAGTACAGGCATTGCAAGTGTGAAAAATGCCGGCTTACTTCCGAAAGACAGAGAGTGATGGCAATGCAAACCGCACTTCGTCGAGCACAAGCTCAAGACGAAGCAATGTTAAGGCAAGGGGTGATTCCCCAATCGAAAAGCCCTGCACCGCTTCATAGTGGCCCCGACCGAACATACGAATGTGAATCACCAGGATCTTCATCAACACCAACTTTTCCGGAAGTTGTCAGGAAAGCGCCGATGGAACCAATCAGAGATAATTTGGGGAATAACAGTAAGTACTTTTACAATTTTTTTGTTAAAAGCTTTATTTATCGCTGTGAATTAATTTATTTTTTAAAAGTACATATCAAATCAAAGGATTAAAGGTGTACAACTGAAACTATATAAGTAAAAACTCTAATACCATCACTAATACCTTAACTTGATTTATCAACTATTCAAATTAAATGACTTGCAACGAAAAAAAGCAGTTTTAATAACTTTATAATTACACCTTTTCATTTAAGCAGTAGTAACTGTTTTAATTTGAGTGTATTAATAAATTTAATTTTGTTTTTATTAAGTTATAATTTTATTGACAATATGTCGTTTTGATAAATTTGTGTAAAATAGTGAGATCTTAAGCAGTAATAGATCGTATCCTTAATGAGATAGAAGGTAAATTATAGGTTAAAGCAAAAAAGAAATACATCGCCCGATTTAAAAAAAAAAGGTTAAATTATATTCCAGAGTTCCTGTTAAGTTGTGAATTTTTTTCCATTTTTTATGCAATCGTGATTTTAATTACGTGACGTTTTAGCATAATTATGTTTAACTTTTAACTTGAATACCTGGTTAACTAGAACAGATGCGAGAATTTTGACTCATTTTTTCGTAAATAATAAATTAATTTGGATTTTAAGTCATTTTGGCAAACCGTAAAGGTCTTTCACTCTGTATGGTTAATTTTAATTTCTGGTGGCCGATGCTTTTTATATCCGGACGTAGAGTAATGTGCGATATTTGTATACTTCAAATGTAATTAACAAAATTTTACAACACCTCTCGTGCTCATTATAAAACTTTTTTCAATAATAAACTGTCTCGTTGAAATTGTAAAAAAATTATTTCTGAAATTATATGGGGAGTGTAAATGGATAATGTAATAATAGATCGGTATTGCAATCAGTGTCAATCGTGAATTAAAAAAAATTACTTTTACCAGTCGTTGAAACTGTAACGATTTCAATTAAAAGAATTAATCAATTTAAAAAAAACTTCTATGAGAAAATTATGTCTAATAATTTCTCAATTTTTAGTTATGACAGCATTAATAATGATAATAATAATCATATTTATAAATTTTCTCCGCATTCCGTGACAGAATGTATAAATATTTAATATAAATTAATTGGAATCTCCTGCTTTACTCTTCACATTAAACTCACCATGCACGCGAAGATTAATCTTCTACTAACTAAACATTAATGACATCTTCAAATATCTTGTCGTCCGGAAAATTATAATCGGTAGTTACCCGACTTTCACCTGACATTCACAATGTACACTCTGATCAGTTATCGGACCTTAAACCGAAATAAATGTCACATCATAAGCCTTAGGTTGTGTCCCGCCAGTGGTTAGCGTTAATCCGTTATAAGGCGTTGCGAAATAATTTATGAACAACTTGCATAACCAGTTTTTAGGGAACGAGATCTTATTACTACGTCTTCTGAGACTGGAAGAATTTACAACGATTATCTTAACTATTTTACCTTTTAGAAAGTAAAATAATTGATACAGAATTAATAATTTTCTATGTAGATAATTTCATTTGTTTTGATTATCTAAAAGATTTATTTTAGAAACTGCTAAACCTGCATATTTCTAGTTCTAGGTCTAATGTTTGTTCTAGTGACAGTGGTAGGTAGCGCTAGTTAGCATAAGATATCACTATGTTGCATATTTTTATTGCACTAAAATGTTTCGAATGTTTCTGGTTCTAGGTATGGTGTTAGTTCTACTTTTCGTTCAATAAAAATATACCACAATCTAACGCTAAATAACAATTAAAACTAGAACTAACACTAGACCTAGATCAAGACACATTCGGATTTAGCTGCATGTCTTTCAAGACGGCTAAACCCGAATGATTCTAGTTCTAGCTCTTGTGTTAGTTCTAGTGCTAGTGCAAAACTAGAACTAACACTAGACCGAGAACTAGAAACATTTGGATTTAGCCGCATGTCTCTCAAGACGGCTAAACCCAAATGAGTCTAGTTCTAGGTCTTGTGTTAGTTCTAGTGCTAGTGCTAGCGTAAAACTAGAACTAACACTAGACCTAAAACTAGAAAATTCGGGTTTAGCCGTGCGTCTCCTAAGACGGCCGAAAACTCAGGCAAAACTTTGCAAAACTACCTAATGCCTGTACTATTAAGCTATGTTGCATTTTATGCGGGACAGTGCAAGTGCATGGCAGTTTCGAAACTATTGTTGATGAAATTCCCGGTATCTTACATTTCGTTTCACTTGATTTTGAAATCTGCAATGTGATCCAAACTGTATCTAAATTAGATATAATGTCGAAAACTCCAAATTTCGTGCTAGCTTTTACTTAACTTATTTTACCGTGTATTAAAATATCCAAGGTAAAATTAAAAAACTTTACAAAAAGAACCCAACGTGACTAATCTCTTTTTCGGATTTCAACAGTTTAATATCTTTCTAGTCTTTTGAAACTTTTATATAAAATAGAAGACAGAAAAAAGCCAGGGTTCTTTCTGGATCCTTTTGGATTCCATGATCAAAACTTTTCTTCAAACTTCTTTTCAAACCTCCTCCTCTAATTAAAACTTTTCTGTTTTTTTGTCTGCATTTCTTTCTGATATCACTTTAGTTATTTTTGGAATTTCTATATGCGTATGCTAAATAAAAGATGAGAAAACAGCAATACTTCAAGCAATTCTGCAAATTATTGGCCACCATAGAAATTATATCATATTAATTATAGAACTTAGACCGCAAGGCTTAATGAGATGAAATCATACTCGGAGCATTTGTGTGATTAAGACAATTGCTAATATTGATACAATATTAGATAATACATATTAAAGCGGTTCAGCTTCAAGTGACCACGACTTGGTATCATTTGTTCTTTTTCTAATTGTGTGTTAAGCTTGTGCAATGTATGTTGTTACTGTATTAACGTGATATTAACTGTAATACCTCGGCCACAAGCGACCTCGTCTTAACTTAGGACGAAGAATGTACTATTTTGCTTTATAAGCTGATAACGCCTGCCGAGGATCTATTGCATGTATTGTCCAATGTTATATTGATGTGGTATTAACTATAGTGCCTTGGCCTGACTTAAGTCGTAGAATGTGCAATTTTGCTTGCAATCGTAGGGTTCATTATTGTATCGATGGTGCAGAAGAAAGTATGATTATGTATTATTAAGACCAGGATACAATTTTAGTTAAGTAGATTCAATATTAGATCAAAATATTCATAAATGTCGGATAATTACGTATCCTTTGATGTGTTGCATTTTTGAATTTTTTTCTGTATTGTTAAGGTAGTATTAAATTGAACAATTTTATGGGGTAGATCATGGAAGGTATGTTTCTTAGATACCATCAAAGAGAAGAAATGTACTTAATGAGATCATGGAATTATAGTTTGAGTTTGGAATATTCGTTATCTTTTCGAGAAGTTTTTTTCCTCTCCTTGTAAAACACGTTTCTTCCTCATTTTGTGTCTAATTATGGATTGATTTTATTTCGACTTGGTTTCATCAACAGTTTTCGTTGGCTTAATCCTGCACACTTCGAATCTTGGCATATTTAAATACTTTTGAGCTAGAATCTTTATATTTTCTTCCCCGTTTCGTTCCTAATAGTTTTAAAAAAGGAATCATTTCCCACACAAAGGGATGTTTGGTACTAGATCTTTGGGTTGTCACTAGGAAGCAGACTTACTTAATACAAGGATTGATGTCATAACGGCTTAGAGGAGCCATGAATAAAATCCATGGTTGATTCTCAATTGAAATTTCATAATGTGCTGTGATTGTTCTAAACTGCAATCTGACTTAAACAATCTACATGCTTTTTGCTTAAATAATCGCCTTTCATTAAACTTATCAAAGTGTAATGTTATTTCCTTCTCTAGGAGGGTGAACACAATCCACTACAATTATAGCGTCGCTGGTGAGAGGTTGCAACGTGTCTCATTTATTAGAGATTTGGGTTGGTGTCTCATTTGATTATAAATTATTATTTGATAAACATATCGATACTGTTGTCTACAAAGCCTGGCGTATGTTAGGATTTATTATGAGATCAACGGTAGCTTTTTCAAACATTGCTGCAATTAGAAATCTCTATTTTGCCTATGTTTACAGCACACTTAACTTCTGCAGCATCGTTTGGAATCCTCAGTATCTCTCGTATAAATCTAGAATTGAGCGTATTCAATCTAAATTCCTCAAATACCTTTGTTTTAAATTTTCCATTCAATACATTGATTACGAATCAACTTGCACTTCTTTTCGTATGTTAACCCTCAACCAGCGTCGCTTTTGTGGGGATATATTATATTTTTACAAACTTTTGAACAACAAGTGTGATTCTCCAATGCTTGTTGGTTCTATATGTGTTCACGTTCCTCCGAGATTACTTCGCTTTGATTTTCTATTTATGACACCTACTCCTAGAACCAATGCCTGTCAAAACTCTCCTTTATTGAGAATGGGAAGATCGGCAAATCGTGTTAACATAGATCTGTTTCAGTATTCTTTCTATGCATTTAAAAAACTGCTCTTTGCTGCAGTTGGTGTGTTGCCTCGAGCGTTCATTTGATATTTGATATATGATATATTTATATCACCTAAACTTAGTTTTAGTTTTTTTTCCTTTTGAATCACTTTTGTACCATTAATGTTAATTCATTATTATTATTATTGTGAACTGTAATTCTATTTTATTTGTATACAATTGGTTGTTTGTGCGGTACAGTATTATTGGGTTCGACCTGTTTCTGTACCCACATGAAATAAATAAATAAATAAATAATAACCAAAAGTGTTATTCAAGTTACTTTTCTTTTTTATTCATTTTATTATTATCGATAATTTAAGAAATGTATTAATTATGGGTTTTAAATGCAAAATATGTTTTTATGTAATGAATTTATGCGTGTATGTAAATTATTTATTAAATTGTAGTCATTTTCTTTTTATACGATGATATGAGAATTAAAATAATGCAATGAATGAATGTTTATGAAATA